CCATCAGGTCCCGCTGCCTTTCTTTAACAATTGAATACAGTACTTCTAGTTCTGATGAAAGTTCACATGTTACCATTTTCCGCTGCAATCGCTGGAATAACTAGCCAATTGAACTCCTCACTAAAATACTCCGCCTAGTGGTCAATTCGTTGTTCTTTATTGTGGTTACTCTGTCCATTTTTTGTCACAAGTGGTCTCACTAACCGATATGTGACGACCTCTGGTGCTGCGTATCAGGTGAAACAGTCTTTGACTACTCCTTGATGCATAAGCTGCCTCCACTTTACTAGCTATGTTAGCCCACCAGTTTTCGCGAACTATCTGAAGGCTTTTCGTGAGCTTACGTTGCAGGTGCCACCAGTTTCTTTGTTTATCCTGGCAAATTGGGATCTTCCGGTTTTGTTTCATCAGGATTACTGATTCCTGAGAGATCCAACATCTTCGGCAAACTTCGGGCTCATTCTCACAACCTAAACTTGCTGCTGGGTGCATCGTGAATCTAATTTGATCCCACTGTTGGTCTACTCCACTGTCACGGTTCTCCTAGCTCCTGTCCCAGCTTCTCCTCATGACGTGCACAGAGAGATGGATAGCGCAGACGATGGTAAGCTAATTGAGGAGGCGACTTCTGCCGATAATCGATTATTCGAAGAGTGATGTTCATCAGAACTAGTGTATGACGCGACTGAACGCAGGTAGTCCAATGGGGTCTGCAATCTTGTACTGAACCACGCCAACGGTCAATTTGGGTCAACTTATCCGTTGGACTAGAACTTGGTGTTGCCGTCCTTCCGAACACTAACTGAACCCTGAAGCCTCAGTGCGCACAAACTACCATTGACAGGTATCCAATCTATCAGTGAGGCTTCGTTTAGTGCGATTCGTACATCACGCTGACCCAGCGAGTGAGCTTCATCGTCTCTTGATGTGCGAGGAAGCACCTCAAGGACAAACCCGGTGCACTTAGATGGCTTATAAGACTAGGATTCTGAATTTGTATCTCCCATACGCAACAGACATCGATTTCTAAAGAATCCAGTGTACGCACTGGGCACACTTGTTGACCCACCCGCATAAGAGTCCTCACGTTATAGGCCCCCAGATTCAGAGGTTGACGAGGCTTCAGAATCTACATTTTACATACTGGTAAACTACTTACACTGCTATTGGGCAACAACGACCTTTTGCAAGTGATGAACAATATGGCTGAAGGGATCTCTCTCTCTCTATATATATATATATAACATCGGCTTGAGAACAAGCATGGTGTCAACGCCACAACAGTATTATCAACAATAACGGGAGGCGGTTGGGATACAGAGTACAGGGAAAAAGACGTAACTGTTAGAATGGAAGACTACGAATGTATGGAATAATAATTTTTGTGTTTCACCGTACACTGATATTTTTTGTGTGTTTGTTGTTTTTACGCGGCAAGGGATTTCGACAGGCAAACCGGATAGCATTCGCGCCTGTAATTGGGCTTATAGGAATATATTATGTTCACTGCAACAAAGCAAGAAGTTGCATAACTCGCCCTAGAAACGTTCTTATCTTCTCCACAAATTTTTGCATTGGTTTTAAGCAATACTTGACTGTCCTTTATCATTTGATTTTTCAGTATTATAAAATGGACCATCCACCATTTGAAGACCTCACTTCTGAGGTCACCTATTGGCGACAAAAAGCGGAGGAGTATCGGCAGGGGTAAGCTGTCCATTTTGCCGTGATTCGAAGTTTGTTTGTGTAGTATGGAAGATGCCCGAGAGGAACTCGAGGATTTTCAAACCAGTTCTCGAGAGTTAGAGTTGGAGTTGGAAACCCAATTGGAACAGTTGGAGAAAAGAAATCGTGAGCTTGTTGTGGCCACAGAGAAATTAACTGTGGAGCGTGATGATTTGAGGGTTAGTTAATGCTTTGGGTTCAGTATACACAGAGCTACCTGCCATTCCTTGATACCCAACCTTAATTTCTTCCTCTTCCTTTTGATGTCCAGAGTCGCGCTGAAACTGGGCAACATTTCTTGAATTCTGAAGTAACTCAGTTGCAAGAAGAGTTGTCTAAAATGAAGTCGGAAAAAGACAAAATGCAGCGATATATACGGGAGTTAGAACAAACAAATGACGACTTAGAAAGAAGCAAAAGGTATGTCACAACTCTCTAATACGATCATCTGTTTGTGGTGCAGGGCAGCCATTGTCTCCTTAGAGGACTTCGAGGCTCGATTGAATCAATCCATTGAGCGAAACGCAATATTGGAAAACGAACTGGATGAAAAAGAGGATTTACTTGTCACAGTTCAGCGATTAAAAGATGAAGTTCGAGGTGAGTTAACTGGTCACATATTTTGTATTGTATTATTGTATTATATTGTATTGTGTATAACTTTTGCAAGCACTAGAGCTCACATTTCAGTTCAAAAGTCATATGCACCAACCGTCACAAAGTACATATTCAACGGGGAGAAAATTTGAACAGACATGGGAACTTTTCATAATTCAAGATTAAGACAAAGTTCACTTATTGCCCTCTCTTTGTTTGTGAGTAAACGTGCAAGATACTGTGAGCGTCCATTCGAGGTGAAATTTAATGGAATCGGGAGCTTGTGGAATGATGGTAACGACAACGCGTCAGCTCTACGTGCAATGGGTGGCAGGACCTGTAAGAATTCTCTCCGCAAATTTCACACAGGAAGTTATATGATACTCAGAGCTTTACAGCTAACTCATTCATAGGAATTAAAGAAACGCGGCTAATAATAGTTAGACCGCGGCGTAACACTTTGAAATCCTGTTGGAATAAGCCTGGAAAAATAGCTGGAGAACAATAAAGTAAGATGGGGAAAACGCACTGATAAACAAAGACAGGAATAACTGACTAGGATGCGCGAAACTGCCTGTGCTTTCGAATTTGAAATAATGGACGCCGCAGTTTACCAATGCCGTTGTGAATGTGGGATGACCAATGGAGTTTGCTATCTGTGGTTACACCAAGATATTTAACGGAGTTCACTCTAGTTAAAGGATTGTTATCTATCACTGTGTGATATCTCAGATATGGAGAGCGAGCAAACTATATAAACAATCAACACATTTATTGGGGTTTAAGGTTAGCCCCGATGAGGAGGAGAATGACTGAATTCGATCAAGATTGTTGGTGAAGGAGCTTAGACNAAGATTGTCGGTGAAGGAGCTTAGACCTGAGTAAGAAGAAATGGGTTGCCACAGCACAACGTCATCTGCATATTTCAAAATACGTGCAAGAGAAACATAAGGAATATCACATATAAGTGGAAAATAAGCATGGGGATAGCACAGCTACTTGAAGAACTCCGGAGTTATTGATTAGGGGTGTGGATGGAGCCTTCTACAATCTAGTGTTTTGTGCTCTATCGGTAAAATAGTTGGATAGCCAAGCTAACAGTTGCTTGGGGCATGCAAATGATTCCAGTTTTTGTGACAACTTAGATCGAGGAATAAAATCAAATGCTGAAGAGTAGTCTAGAAAAACACTGAATAGAGGTGTTCAATGACTCAAATGAATAAGGATGGAGACTGCGTCCAAGGTGGATCTATTAGTCTTGTGAGCAAACTGTAAAGGATCACGGGGAATGTTTATAGACTGCTGAAGGCGTTTGAGGATAGCTTTTTCAGTCAACCTAAGAGCTGAAGATGTTAACACCAACGAGAGGAGGGAAAATTTGGAAAGTTATGGAATTGGTATGATTGTGACCAGCCTCCAACAGTCGGCGATAGTAGAAGTTTTAAGAGGTTCGTTCACAACGGAGGTGATTTCCCCAGCTAGGGAAGCAGCACCAAATTTGAAGGGGACTGGTGGTAAATCCTCCGAGCCTGCAGCAGCAGAAGAATTGCAACTACTTAAAAGTTTTAACACATCACAATTTGAGAATGGTTCCACATTACAAACATTATGTGATGAGTAGGCAGGAAGAATGTCCGATGACTGGCGCAGGAATGCGGCACTGAGATTATCGACATCCACATCCAGCTTCGACTGTACTTCTTTCCTTCCACAGAGAAGTCTTACACCTTGCCACAGATGTTTGCTGTTTCCAGTCCTCAGAATATTGCGTTCAATCTATTTACTTCAGCTTTGATAAGCTTGGACTAATACCTGACAACTGAAGCATTGTGAGACTTGTACGCACGTTCCTTTTGTCGTCGCAGCGACTTTAGTAGAGGAGAGTTTATCCTTCCGTTGGGCACATGTAGGCTTTGAACAGGACAGCAGTAACTATAAATGACATTAATGGTTTGGGCGAGTAGAGGGACACACGTGAATGGAGAAGAAGGAGATGATGGAAAACATAAAGAGGCCTGCCTGATAGATTCATTTAGGAGAGAAACACTTGTAGGTGAGAAGTTGCGAAAACGAAGTAGGATGTGGTAAGATCGAGAGAAAGATTTGAATACATAGTGTGGATAAACTTTAGGTTGAACTAAGAGTAAAAAGTAGTCCCTGGAGGAAATAGATGCTTTTAGTGCTAAGGAAAAAAGGTTGGGTAGTTGGTGATTACTTTGTCCAGTATAAAATTACCTTTTGTGGGAGAGTGAGAAAGATCTGTCATACTCAATGATAAAAGAGGATAGGTACTAATATTGTTAAAGTCGCCAACGATTATGTGTAGGTTAACATGTAAAAGTGGCGCAATAAAAGGTATAAACCAGTCGAAGAATGATATACGATTTGACTGTACAGTAAGGTGCTATATACAAGTTGGTGAAAATTGTGTGAGTAAAACGGGAAAATCTTGGGTGATACTGCACGGTTAGACACTCAATACCTTTTGAGCAGTACTAAAAATAACATGTTCACAACCAGGCTTTTTGAAATTTCATGATGTTTGTTAAGACGGGTATTTGATCAATCCAGGATCTCATATTCCAAATTATCTCAATAAATATATCGTTATGCGTCACGAAATGGTATTGCATAATAATGATAGGAATACAATATACTGTGGGTAGTTCCGATCCAGACTATAAACTGATTTCTGGCCTGCTCATTGCTGTTACCTATACTGGTGGTGAGACCTCAACGTTTCATTGAGTGCGTGAAACCCAGACCCAAATCCTAATGGCGTTTCGATAACCAGTGCATCCTCCATACAGATCCTTCAGTCACACACCCCTCTTTCAATCTGCGCACCACAGCTTCATGTGCCAGGGTTCCCCAAACCCCCTTCGTCTGATTGCCTACTGCGAAATGAGTTGAGCATCTATTGGGAAAACCCTCTCTTATCTGTCTTCTTCTTTTTCTCCCCTCAAAACACAAAGTACCTCTCAAGATATATCACCCAGTGTTTGGACAAGCTATGTAGCTGTATCAGAAGTCATTAAATTGACCAAACCACATTATCATCTTCAGTCAATCGCACTCAATACCACGTTCATCCCTTTGATTGGTGGACCGCTCTGGAGAGCAGCGCTGTTTACCACCGAGCACGTCCCCAGGTCACGGATAGGGAAACGGTCTTCATCTTGGGGTTAACCGTCCATAAGGTGGGCTTAGGCCCCCCTCGTATAAGCAGTTGTGGAGGATCAGCGGCCTCGCTCGCGGCTGTGGTGGTTTTACCTCCAGGGATTCTCCGCACGAAATACCACATATTTCTGTGGACAGCGCTGTGACGTGGTGAGTGTGGCCCGCCATCTAATATGGCCATTGCCCCCTTGATGGTTTTCCAGAAGAGGCGAATAAACTGAAAACTGGCCACCAGCTCATCTGGAGTATCGCCGCTGCCTTGCAGTCCGCGCTTGGTTGCTCAAAGACTGGAGTGCACCCTCGAACAAGGGTTACTCGGTCGTCCGTGCCAGAGTCATCATCATCGTAAAGTGAAATACAGTGAGGTGGACTTCACTGATCGCTAGCAAACTCGTAATGCATACAGGGTTAATGGTTATATTTAAGGTGGACAGGGATTGGACCTACCTTGAAGGAGGGAGAATAAGGTAAACCACTACAGTCAACAAACAGAGTGCACAATCGAGCTCTGCATACATACCGTTTCAAACGTCCCGGCCTGATAAGAAATGACAACAAGAACGCCGCTGCTATCGGCTCGCTGCCATATCCTTCAATGTCTCCGACCAACCAGTTGTGGAGTCAATCGGACCCCAACCTGGAAGGCGAAAGACACCTACTCTACCTAATAGCTCTGTGCATTTTTTCATGCCTCGTTTCCACATCTGTGGACTTCCACGTGGTTTCCTCCAGCCCGGGGCGGCTACCGCGATTAAGGCGTGATGTGGTAAACCGTAGCTAGACATACATAATACAGCCCACAACTCATACAGCGATGCATGTCTGAGGGGTGCTTCAACTGTTTCTTGTTGAGGGCATTAAAATCCCTGTCAATGATAATTTGGCTGTTAGGATCTGTCGCCATTAGTGTCTCAATGTTGGAAGATAGAATATGAACAATAGAAGGATCGTTGCTACTCGGGGAGCGGTAAATGGTGCAAAAATAGTAGTTGAAAGAAGGGAACCGATGTTTCAGCCACATGAGCTGAAATTCGCTGTGGGAGAAATCGAGGTACGAAAGTCGGGAAGAAGCGACGGAATGATGGATATAGGCGCAGACACCAGCTTTAATAAAAAAAAGAAGAATGGAGGAAGTAATTAGGGATCTGAAAATGAGTAGTGTCTGACGAGGGAGAGATTTGTGTCTCGGTCAAAAGTAAAGCCCAAGGGAGGAAATTGGAGAAAGTGGTGTACAGAGTTAACATTTCAATTTAAACTATGTATGTTGGTGAGGGCTACAGAGTGCTGTGAGTTCGTAGGTAGAGTACTCATTCTGTGATTTTTATTGTTCATTTGTGGCGTGAGAGAAGACCGGCAAACCAACCCTGAGACTTGAAGTGTTAAACCACATACGATCTCAGTAGGTTGTACGCGATAGTAAGCCGGGTGACGGCAGGGTTGTCTACCACCTGGCGCCCAATGCATCTGAAGTACAGTAAGCGCTTACCGTACAAACAGTTCGCTGATTTGATTCCCCAACAAGTGTGGATCACAAATGAGAAGAGCGTTCATCAGCTGCAACATGCATTGGGTCGTTCATAAACGGATGGCCAACATTGAATGGGTAGGCTGCATTTGGGACCGAATTTTATCCACAATTAATCCTCCGTTTTAGATTCTACTGTCCGAATAGCGATACCTCTAATTCCACTATAATGCTTCCTCATAGAAGGCGTCCCGGTGCGGGATCAACTGGATCTTGGCGCGAAATAGAAACGAAGCTACTTCACCGTGGGAACCATTTAGAAACGCTTGC